TGGGGTACTGGCTGTGCCTATAGCAACTATCCCGGTGTCTACGCCGATGTCGCTGTCCTCCGCTCCTGGGTGGTCAACGCAGCCAACTCTGTCTAAGAACTTTGCTCAATAAACACCGATATGAACATGAAACTCAAAGTATTTAATGGATGTATTACTTTTTTAATTTCCTAAAAACAGTATATTAGTTTTGTGCGATGTCCGTCTTACTGTTAGGATGACTGTAACTCTGTCTACTGCAGTGTAAACCATTTCATCGTTATCAAAACTGAAAGCTCGAGCTTTGGAGCTTCCGCTGGTATCCTCAGTTTATCATTATAATGTTTTTTGAAACGACCAGAAAATTCGATATCTCTTATAACAGCGCTATTGAGTTTATTTGTTGGCTGGAAATAAAGATTTAAAATTTAAAACATATAAGAAAACTCTACTATGATATTCCCTGAGCGCTGAAGGATCTGAGGTCTTTCATCAGTTAAATAAAATTACGTAACTTCAGCAGGATTTGAACCCGGCTATTTACAATATGCGGTGCACGGAAATCGATACGACGGGCTAAAGCGAGGCAAGCCCCCTGCAAGAATTAAAACAATGACTGAAAATACAAACACAATTCAAAAGCAAATATGCTAGAAAGCGTGTATATGAACGTAGATATATTTGTGCACACCATAGACAACAAAATTTTTGAGTGCGTACACACGCATAGGGAAATATAACGTGCATTACCAATTGCTTCGATTTGTTATTTAATAAATGTTGCAACTTTTAGCATATGATCACACATATTCTATTAAATATTTGTCATTTTATAAAAGTGACAATAGATTTACAATTATCTATACTCATAGCTGACCTTCAAGTTCAAAAATTAAAATTCTATAAAATACAACTAAGCCTACAGTGCCTCACATCTGATGTGATCCACTTTCAAATACAAATCAAAACTTGAAAAGAAAAGATTTTTTAAAATTATAATGCCAATTTGAATTTCAATTTCAAAACATCATTTGTTTATTCATTCTTAAAGCAAACACAATAGAAAACAAGTAAGAAGGCTCCAGTCGAGACTGCTCGACTAGGAGATACCCTGAACCCTCCAAGCTGATATTCTAATCATTCTGCACTTATTTTATGCACACATATATACACATGCATTAACACGCACGCATAAGCCTGCGCTCTGCTAACTGCGCAGTAAGCAGCGACTGCGCTTGGGCTGCGCTGCAATGTGGGCAATATTATGAGAATTTATTTGTCGAATAATTTCTTTTGTAGACATACGATCTTCATGAAACTTTTAGAGTGTAATCATATGATGAATATGTATGTACATTCCAAAGCACAAGTCTCTAGTATTTGAAATGCGTTTTTTACAAATTGGGGGCGAATGGGGCGTGGTATCCAAAATCTGTAAATTACAAAATCTGTGTATCCATTAACTTTATATACAACGCAAATTTGAAGACTCCAGGTCAAAAACTGTTCATATTAGGCTAAAAAAACAAAATCAATTTTTCGATTATTCTCGATAAAAAAGTTATCGGACGATTTATCGAAAAAATAAAGCAAACTCGTACTGCGTATGGTACACACGAGTATGCATGCCAAATTTCAGCTCTCTAGCTCTTATAACTTCTGAGATCGACGCACTCATACGGACGGACGGACGGACGGACGGACGGACGGACAGACGGACAGGGCTATATCGACTCAGCTCGTCACGCTGATCAAGAATATATATACTTTGTGGGGTCTGCCACGCCTCCTTCTGCCCGTTACATACTTTTTCACAAAACCATTATACCCTGATTTCCCATTTTCAATGGGTTCAGGGTATAAAAA